TTTGAAATTCCAGATCAGTTCTACTTTTACAGCATACATGAGAATTCTATACATAAAAAAGAACAAACTACATATTTGATCTAAACATATGTATTAATTAATAATGAATTTTTTAACACTTTATAGTATTAACAGATTTGTTAATTGATAGGTTTGAGTGCCTTTTTCTTATAATGTAAATTAATATCATTCATAAGCATAAGTAATTCTCATTTAATCTCTTTCCATAATTAAGTCTAAGAGAAAACCTGTATTTGGTTTTTAAAATTTTGTCAAATGTAGTCTGATGCAAAAATTCGAATTATCGTATCACTGTTGAATTAGAAATTAGCTGTACATGTCTTATTTTGATCAGATTTTTTAAGAATTTTCAGGAAGCATAATTTAAAATATCGAATTCTAAACTAGATTAAACAGCTCTTATTATCAAATTATATTTATAACAATCAAGAATTAGGTTAAACAGCTATAGAAAAACAAGTTAGTAGCGTATTTGAGTATGAAAAAAAAAATATTATTACATATATCTAATTGTAACGTCATAAATATATAATTATTTAAATATGTAATTAAAATATGTAATTAAGATGAAAAAAAATCTTTCCTTTATATTGACACTAACAATTGCTTGTATATTTTTGGTAAGCTAATTAATATGTATCCTACAAGTTATATTTAAGTAAGTATACGAACATGTTAATAATTCCTATTTTCCAACTAGAGTTCTGATCTATTATTTGTTTATCCATTTATCTATCGGATATTCAGATCTGAATTTATTTGAATATCTGTTTTACTATTGATATCTGGATAATTATCTGAATATTTGTCAGATTATTTGGATACTAATAGTAAATGGATATCTGGATAAATTCAGATATGGATAAATGAATAGCAGATTTATCCGAATTGGAACTCTATTTCTAATACTTGATACATTTATTTAATCACCAATGTATTTATTTAATCAATAAACAATAGATTGAGAACTGACTGATATGATGTAATAAATAAACAAATCGATTCTCACCAGTTTTGAGAAATTATCCACTAACTTTATTCTCTAAATTATTAAAAACCTTCGCTATTCACAAATACATAATCTGCTTTTTTTGTATGTATTTATAAAAGCAAAATACCGTAAAACTTTTTAATGACATTAAAGATATATAGAATTTCTCTAACATATATAAGAGGAATATATCCTCTATATTTCTTGGCCACCCTTTTTTTTTTGTTATTACAATTATGATATCTAATCAATCTACTAAAAAGACACGCATGGCAGTTAGTGATAGTCTAAAAAATGAAATTTGCAAATATCATGTAAAAATCCTAATAAAACACAAACACAAATCGCAGAGTACTTTAATGCTCAAGATTCACAACGTAATTTTGATCATTCAACCATCTCTAAAATTCTCAAAGAGAAAAATAAATAGTTAGCCGTTAGTAAAAATGAGATAATATCAAGTACTTTTCAATATAGAAAAGTAAAATTTCCTTTGCTGGACTAAGCTATGAAGTTATGGGTTAAACAGATTGTCAATAATAGGTTATTTTTAACTAAGATGATTATCAAAGAGAAAGCTACTTATTTTTTTAAAGCTTTATCACTACCTGATAATGAAATAAAATTCTCTAATAGTTGGATAAGGTAATTTAAAAAATGCAATAGTTTGCAAAAATTTCAATTACATGGGGAGGCTAGTAGTATGTCAACAAGTGACCTTCCAGAATTCTGATGCAATTTACAAAATATCATCCAAGAATATGCATTAAATAATATTTTTAATGCAGATGAAATAGGTCTGTTTTTTCGAATAGCACTCAACTAAATGTTAGCATCTCAACCCCATTCAGGAAGGAAAAAGGAAAGTAATTTTTATTAATTTAATAATAGTTTGTTTTTTATTGTAAAATTTGATTAAAAACTATTCATTAAACTAAATCTTTTTTATTGTTAATAAACTTAGGATCGTACTCGTATTATTATTCTTTTAGCATGTAATGCTACTGGTACTGAAAAATTAAAGCTTCTTGTAATAGGATTTTTAATTGAACTATGAGCATTATCTGGAATAAATCATTCTATACTACTTGTTATATATCGTGCTAACTCAAAGACATGAATGCAAAGTGATATATTTTTAGAATGGTTGAAAGATCTTGACAGCCAATTCCAACATGAAAATTGAAAAATTTTGCTTTTACTTGATAACACAACAAGTCATTATGATCCAAATTCATATTCATCTGATAAACAGTCTAGTCATAGTGATTCTGAGGAGCTGCATTCTGAAAATAGAAGTAGTTATAGTTGTGGTCGTGGCTGTGATTATGGTCTTATTCGTAGTCATTATCATGGTCGTGGTCATAGCCGTAGATGTGGTCTTATTCGTAGTTGTAGTTATGGTTATAATAATAATCATAATACTGTTCGACAAAGTAAAGGCAAGCATAGCAGAGGCCGTGCGAGTATTTATACACTTCCTGATTTATCTGATTATAATCTCACAAATATTAAAATTCAATTTTTACCTACTCTTACTACCTCACATCTTCAACCTATAGATGCAGGAATCATTAAATGCTTCAAGTTAAAATATCAAAAAAAATATATTCAACATATCTTAGATCAATTTGAGAGGGGACTAGATATTCGAGATTCTGAGTAAGTATTGCATATTCAAAAATTATATGTAATTTTTTATAAACTAAAATTTATTATTTTCTGTTAG